CGTAAAAAAGAAATCTTCCGAATAGAAAGAGAGTGACTCGTCAATTACACAGATCTGAAAAAAATGTAATTAGAGAAACTTTGGTTTTTGAAAGTTAGTTATGAACCCGCAAAAGATAGTTCGAGAAACTTTTTAATTATCATCTAGTTTGGTTACGATTTAATGGTATTTGGTAATTTTATTTACTCGAGTAGGAAAGTTAATAATTAAGTACAGAGTAATAAAAGTAAAGAGTAATAAATAACAACACATTAATTAATAAAAAAATATATATTTTTAGTTTGGCCAAGGAAACTATATGATGGTTTAGCGTAAATGAATGAAAATTAAGGTAAAAATTGAAAAAATCGGTATAACTTTAAGTAATTTTACAAAAAAAAAATATTGATATATTATAATATTTTTAATAAAAAATTTGTAAAAATAAGATATTTTTAGGTAGTTTTAGTAAACAGTTTTTTAATATTAAATGATTATTACAAAACGATATTATTTTCACAATGAGTTTTGTGAGTTTAAAAATTAAATTTAAATGAGATACAATCTCGTAGTAAAATTGCATATCTCTAGACATATTCACAAAACTTCTGTAAATTTACCATAATATATTTAGTAAAAAATGATGCCACGTCACGTGGCTTCTTATAGAGCTCATGCGCATTAAATAATCGATTAAAAACCTAGTTAGTAGGAAGGAGGAAGAACATTTTAGGAGAAAGTCTCAGAGCGTGGGTGATTAGTGTTTTTAAAATTTAAGGATAAGTATATTATATTAATTATGTTTATATGTAGTTTCTGTAAATATAAAGCCAGCCCTCTTAGAAAACACAATCTACATTTATTATTTGCATTTTAATTTAACGATTTTTATGTAAACATAATTGTTCCATGATCTCTCTATATCAACATATCTCAAGTATTATTAATTTATTCTTTCAGACTGTGTTTCGGAAAACAAATTTAATAGAGGACCGGAGTAGACAATTATATACATCCATAGTCTCTAAGTTGGTAAGCTGACTGTTTTGATTAGATGCCTTTTTCTTGCATGTTTTTTTTATTTTGTATCTAATGGCAATTTTTTTTCTATTTTGGTTTGAGTAAGGTTCTTCAAGACAAGAAGAGATGACAATGAGTATCTTACATACATAAGTTCTGTTTTGTGACTTTTTATTAAACTTTATAATAAATATTATAATTATAAACACGTGTTTTATTAAATTTATTAATATTTACTAACGCTTTGTGAATTTACAAAAGTAATTGCAAATTCACTATATAATTAAATGTTTTAATTTGTTGTTACTCTACGAGTATAGTAATATTACAAGAAGTTGGCGATTTTAAAAGATATATTTACAATGAATAAGTAAATTTACTATGAGATACACATTTTTTACATAAATTCACAAAGAATATTGGTGAATATAAAGATATATTATATATATTTACATACATGCCAGAAATTAGCCATAAAGCGATTTTACAAACGAGTTGTAAAACTAAAGAACGGATGGTAAATTTACCACAATAATGTGTGGCAAGAAATAACCATCAACATTGTTAGTGGAGTGCTTTAAGCCCTTATGGGATACAAACCTCGGAATTCATTTACTGTGAACGATTTTTTATAAAACTTTTTGCATTGTATTGTTAATAAGATATATTACAAAGTTTACCCATTTAAATTCGTTGCTTTCCCTTTAGTATTTAAATAATCACACATATACAAATGCATACATACAAGATGGCTCCGTATTCCGGAAAAGCTCTGTAAAAGGATTCCTATTTGAGATTTTCACCACAAACCTTTTTACTAAATATATGGTTAATGGTAGTTCACATTTCAAAAATATTTTTTGAGATATACAGGGTGAGTCAAATATATATCATTTATTTATTAAAGTTCAGTGAATTTGCTACAAAATTCCGGTTCCAAAAATATCCTAATACCATAGAATATACTAAATGGTCTTTGAGTTATGACCACATCCATGACGACGTCAATCTAGACGTCCACGAACCTTCGTATAAGAACTTCTAATTGAGACGATCGACTTATTGTAAGTATATCGCTAAGAAACCGCCGTTTGCCAGTTTTTCAAATTGATAATGAATTGCATTTAAGGACCGCGCATATTAACTAACGGACTACCAGAAGAAGATTAAATGAAGTAAATCTTATGTCAAGAAGGCCTGCTTCGGGACCAGAACTTGCTAGATATGTTGACTAGGCCCATAAGCAAAGCATGTAAAAATTACGAAAAAATGTTAGTCTCTTCTTTAAAACCGAGTATTTCCAACAAAAATAAAGCTAATGAGATGAAACAAAAAACAAACCATGGAGAAAGGATGTATCTAGATGATAAAATGATTTTTAAATTTCTTGCTGTTTTAACATATTTCACAGGGTGTTTCAAACTTTCACCAAAATATCAACATTTTGTTTTCCCTCGTATAATTAACAGATGGGGAGTTTCATTTTTAATTTAGAAAAAGATAGTAAAAAGTCAAATAATTTGAAAACACATTTCTAAAAAAATCATCAAAATCGGATCATTAAAATAAAATATATTAACCTTTAAAATACATCAAAGTTTTAAGGTTCTCATTTTTCGTGCCGGTGAATGTATTTCAAAAACTATACATTTTAGTCATATACATTTTTAATGAAACAAACATTTATTTTTTTACTAGAATCCAAAAATCAATTAATATATAGGGTGTTCCATTACAAAAAACATAACTTTGATGTATAACTTTTTTTGGGGACACCCTGTAGAACTCTACATAATTTTAGAAAATGCTTTAAATTGACTTACAAAAGCTCACAAAATTTCATTTCAATACAAACTTTTGTTCTCCTTGCAAAAACCGCATCGTATATTACGCGCCACCCTGTATAATTCGATTTCAATCAAAATTTCAATGATCAAAATATAAGCAGAATAGGTATAGCTTATGCCTTAGATTTATTTATTTCAATAAATTTACTTAGAAAAAGAATTAAAAAAATCAAAATCTTAAGAAGGAAATAATTAAGGATTTACTAAAATTACTAAAATAAAAAATTAAAAGCAACGAAAAAAAATGGGTAAATATTTTAGTATTTTATCTATAAAACACAATACAGAAGGTTTCATATTAATATATTCACACTAATTGAATTCCGAGGTAAAGGTCTCTGGGCACTCCACTATGTTATTAAATTCACAAATTAATTTTTTCAGCGTGTTGCAAAAGTTGCACGACAAGTTGCAAACAATTCATGAATTTACTAGTAACAGAACCATTTTCAATGTAAAAAAATAAGAGTAAAATTGCTGTTAAATTTTCTGCTCGAATAAAAATGTGGTGTCCATAAAATAAATTTCCTGTTTCGAGTTGCGAGAGAGCGGCGGGCGCGTCCATCCAAATACCTTTACGAAGTTAAAAAGAGTTTTTTGCATTTTATTCGGGAGTTTCGGCCGTGCGGAATCCTTAATAAATTGCACCATTTATATGCCGTCGAATATGCTTATCTCCTGTTATTTATCCGTCAGAGATTCTTCAGCATTTCTGGAATAACGCTTTCCTTTTGCTACACGGAATATGCATCAGGGTAATAGGAAAACATGCATCACCTTGATAAAGCATATTTATAAATTTATCTACGGATCAACAATGATTGAAATAGTTGGCGAATTATTTCAATTCAGAGTTGTTCATTTTTTTGACTTTTCCATATCTTCTTGAAGATTTACAAGTTTTGACGTTTTATTTGTAAAATTGGCATATTTTTCCATGATAAATCAAGGAAAGAATTACTATTTTCTATAGGCGTGGTGCATTTCAGTTGATTTCAACAAATTCCGACCGCAGCGCTTCAACGGCAGAAATCAGAAATTATCAGTACTATGTATTTCACGTCGCCGTCGCCGTCATGTTGATCGCATTAAAATATTATTGAAATCGTGGTTTTGTCATAATATTTAAGTATTTTAGTTTTTTGCTAGCGCAGTTATTGAGACTATAAAACACTCAGGTACGAGGTTTGTGTGATGTAACGCTGCTTCGGGTAGTAAAAAATAAGTGAAAAAGAATTCGAACTAGGGGTCGTTTTATGTTGCGACAATTTCAAATGTTAATAAAATGCCGAAAAAATGTTAAAGCGTAAAGGAGAGCGTAATTAAGGCGCTGTTGGGTTCAATAACATTCAATAACTCGACTTTCCCCGATTTTCAACTCTCCCGAAACAACATTTTATAGCTTCATAGTTTCTCACACCCATTTGATCAAAAGCAAAAATGGATTCAAGCAGTTCGAGGAAATAAGAGAGTAAACAAGTCCCCATTACATAATTAAAAAAATTAAACAGACATATACTATGAGGGGATAAAATATATTTTGCAATATTAATGGTATACTTTTTTTAAACAACTAGTGATTAAATGTTTTATGAACATCTTCTAACATTATAATTATGTTCGCAAAGTGCAGGCCGTCTGGCACGAACTAATTGCTACAACAAAACCTGAATTTTTGATTAAACTAAGTAACAGCAGATAAATTTATATCAGTTGAAATACATTTACCATGGTAGAATTTTGTAGGAAAATTTACTGCTCTATTTTTTTTTCGTGAAGGTCTGAAATAGAACGTAATTGGCGAAATAAGTTTTATTCTATACAGAACAGTTAATATTTATAAAGGAGACAACATGTTAAAGTGAACAAATTAAAAAAATTACATCGTTATAAATGTATATTATATATAATGTCAATTTTCAAAACGACTTGCTTTGTGTATTAATTTCTACAGCATTTATAGTGCTAATATGTCAAGAATTAGATTATAAGCAAAGTTTAATTCCTAAAGTAAAATATTAAGTAAAAACGACGTTCTTTTAAATATTCCTTACAATTAAACGTGGCAAAACTATGAAATTTCTATGAAAGTTAAGTGAAATTGAGCATTCAATACGGTTTCAGTGAATAATAACTCATTTAATATAACTATTATTAGATGTTGCTCAGTAGTGTAAAATAGGAATAAGATGTCCGAAGTACCTGCAACAAGAAAATAAACTATAATATTAACTAGTCCGTAATAATAAAATATTGAATTTTCGAAAGTGATCTTCAAAATCAGTTGTTCGTTAAATATATAGGTGCTCATAAAATGTATCAAAGAAAAATACTTTAAAAATTGCTAATTTGACATTTTGTAGTCTATTCTTTATTGTTTCAATAACAGACTTCCAAAAAATAACATTAACCATAAATTATAAATAATATATAGAGTTTTGTGGGCGTGTTTATTTCTTGAAAAAAAAACCTTGAGAAGGTATTTATCCACTAAAACAATTTATAAAAATAAAATAGTTGTTTTTTTCAATATGTCAGAGCGTTAGAATCCAAAGAGAAATTAGCTTGTGACTGGTCCGTGTTTTACCCATAATCAAAGTTGTTTAATCAACAAAAAAATCTTAATGATTAATTTTCAGAGAAACGTTAGCAGTCTCCTTACGTCACGCGTCGTCAGAAACCAAAAAAAAACAATAAAAAAAATCTAAATGTTTCTACAACAAAAACTTCTACAACGCGATTGTTTTATAACGGGGGAACATATTCCCCCAAAGCTTGATTTTCATGCCTCCATTAAGGCCGGGACACACCTATCATGCACGTTTCCGATCCGGCTCCGGTCCGATTTTGCCCCAGAAGCGGATCGCTGTGGGATCGGAAATGGCGAGTACACACATGTCATACATGCTTCGACTCCTTCGCGATTTCGGGCTTCGGCTGGATACAATCGCCAGTCTTGATTCAACAATCATCGCAAGTCGTCTGCGCAAAATGTTTAATAATTTTAGCAACAGTGATTTAGCCATGGTGGCACTTTGTTTGGAAGAAGAAGATGAGGAAAACGAGAAAGCTTTTATAGAGAACAGCCAAAAAGCAGATTTCATATCTTTGTAGTCGGAGTTTCGGTACTGCTCTTTGGTCTGGTCATACAGCACTGGATATTTCCTCAGTTCTTCAATTAGTTCCTCCGGTTTTATCGTTGACATTTTTTTATTATTTTAGTAAAAAACTAAAAATAACACAGCAAAAAAAAATAAACAAAATAGTTCAAAACGACACTCGTCCCACAGCCGGCATCGACGAATAGACAGGCAATCGGAACACAAAAGGATGCAGGAACGGAGTCGAGTAGGAGCGGGGATGAATCACGTATCGGAAAGGTGTAAACTACGCCGGTAAAAATAACGTATGATTTCCCTCTCATACAGTCGTCCGACTGTATGATCGGAGCCGGATCGGAAACGCGCATGATAGGTGTGTCCCGGCCTTTATCCGTTGATACGATGATCCGACGGCGCTCTGACTGGTCATAGCATTTTCGCGCCACTTTTCATCCGTACATTTTTTTACTCCAGCCCGTCAATGGAGAAAGATCGTATAATAACGGATGGCTTTGACACTTTTTAGATAATTCTAATCTAACCCCAATAAAAATATAATAGTACAAGAGCTAGCAAGGTCGGGAAAACGAGAATTTTAAGAAAGCTGCTTCTTTAAAATATCTTTTGCTATGCTCTCCTGACCAAAGTGCAGGCCGTCTGGCAGCCGGTAGACTACTGCGCATCATATCTGTACAGGGTATTTTCGTGTGTTTCATGGGATTTCTCGGTTATGAGTAGAGATACAATGATGCGATTTTCACATTACTTTGCTACTTTTTTATGAAACTAAATATGCTACACATAAGTTTGTCCTAGCCTCATTAGTTCCTGAAATACGGGACGAATTTATGGTGCGCAGTAGTGGACAGATGTTGAATACAGATATGATACGCAGTAGTGAACGCGCTCTGTTCAGGAGAGCATAACAAAAGATATATTAATAAACCAGTTTTCTTAAAATTCCCTCTCGAGAACGCTAGCTCTTGGATTATGAGTAAAATCATGAAATCGTTATGGAAATGAAAATATAAAACGATCCCAATCACAAGCAAATCAGACATCCGATGAATGGAGACATGAAAATGCAATAAATTTAAAAATTCCGTAGTTTTCTAACCAATCGAAGTCTTTAAATTCAACCAAAAAAATTAATATCGTATAATCGTATCGTCGCGTCGGATAACGGATAGATGAAAATCAAGCTTAAAACGTTAAGTATTTTTGTTGGCTTTGAACATTTATTTATGAGTAACAAGTCCACTGACAAGTTGGTTACGGTTTAGATTTTAACTCAAATATATGTGGAATTTTACAAAAAATATATTTTCTTAAAGTTTTAGAGTTCTGTTTCAGTAATAAATTTATTTTTTTATGATAAAAGATAATTTTTAAAAGGTTCGAAGAAAAATAAAAGTTACTTTAAACGCCGTTTAATTCTACTTACGTTTAAAAACACCTGTATCGAAAGTGGAATAAGGCGACCAGCATGTATAACTAAAGGCTCTTTAACAGAAAGGAAAGCTATAACCATCATTTTTCTAAATTCCAAGTCGCAATCCAGCCAATAAGGGATCTTAGGTATAGCATTAAAAATTCTGCTACTCTATAAAACATCATTTAAATTAGCTTCTCAAATTAATTCAGATCATAAAGAATCAAGTATTAAATGAAGCATGCAGTTTATTAGACATAAATATGATTTGTATAAAATAATTAAAGTAACTTTTAAGCAAGGAAACAAGTTAATGATAATAAGGTAATTCTGTATTGAATTTAAAAGTTATTGATACAAATTTTTAAACATACTTTTTTTTCTAAAAGAAGTCAAAAGTTGCTTAATATTACATTTTTGAAAAATAAAGATATTCTATTTACATTTAAATAATTTATGTCAGCACACAACAGCAAAATTGATATAATTTTTTATTAAATATTTTTTTAAGTACCTATTTGTTAAATTTACAGTTTAAACCGGAAGTAAAACAAAAGTATAGTGTATTTGTTACGATATCAATAGCATTCTAAATAATATGAAAAGTAGGAATATTACCTTAAACGTTAATTCTGTGCCTATCCAGCAGAAGCCTGACTGTTGAGTAAACATAGCAAAGAAATAGAAGAGTAAATAAAAAAATTCAGTACTGCCAACTTTTATCTGAAAATATATTAATACTCATATATTCTCGAATGTAATACCACAAGATGTTTCGTGATTACCGAATAATACTTTTACCTGACACGAAATGCGTTACCCGGCAACACTACGACTCCGAAGGAGGGGTAGGTTGCCGGTATCGCATTGAGTGTCAGGCAAAAGTATTAGATAATCCCGAAACGTCGAGTTGTATTCAAACGATTATACAACGAAATAAAGTACATATATCCCTCTTATTTTAAACATTTACCAAATCTTTCTTTTGCCATGTTGTAATAAGAATTGACGGGATATTTTATGGGACTGACAGAAATGACTTCTGAATTAATATTACAAAAAATGACAATTACAATATGAGGTCCGTTCTCAGAAGAATTCCTGACTAGTCAGCACGTTTCTCATTGGTTAAAATGCGTAGAAACCTGATTGTTAGTCTGGTTTCTAAGCATTTTAACCAATGAGAAACGTGCTGACTAGTCAGGGATTCTTCTGAGAACAGACCTATGGCCACCAAGCGATAATCACTTAAATTATTATCACTTATTAATCACATCTCTCTATATAGGAAAAATATACATAGAGTTTTATAATCGTAGTAAGTCTTAATAATATATTTTGTTTTTAAGTTATTACAACAAAACATTATTTATTTAAAAAAAATTACAATACAACAATACAATTCCTTATTCTCCCTACGCCATATATTTAATATGACTAAATAACATAATTATTTTTATTTAAGAGATATATAAATATCTGATAATATAAAAGATTTCAAGCTTCAAGCATAGATACAGAATTAGTCAATCTTGCATTGTAGAACACTAAGTAAATAAAGTATAAAAAGGAGAAACATTCAGTAAATAACTAGTGTAGATAATGTAAATAAAATGTTTGTATTAGTTTAATATATGAAAGGATTAGGTATATAAAATAGCATTGATAATATATTATCCGTATTTACGTATTTAACACAGCGGTATAGCTTGACCCCGGCAACTGTACCAGTTAAAATTAAGTAGAGATTACCATAATGCTGCAGGAGATAATCATGTATGATATTAATTTATAATTTCTAAGATGCTTTAATATTTATTTAACTCATTTGTAACTAAAATAGTAGTTTCATAACATAATTTATGAATATAGGATAGTCGTTTTCTTAATTATAATAAAGATAAATTCCTTTAGAGGCTTGGATAACGTTCATTATCTATTTTGAAAGTGCTAATATATTTAACAATAATCCATATACCTTGAATTATGTTAGATGAATATATTTAGAATACTGTTTCTTTTTTGTTTTTTATACGTTAGCGAATAGTCATTGTGTGTAATAAAGGGTGATGTAATATAGGCTTCATGCTTGGTGTCTACATTATTCGTTGAATTGAGACCAAAACAGTTGTCTTCCCTAAGTAGATAAATATAAATCAATAAATTTTATAGATCGGAATTACTTATCTCACGGCAGCAACTAATCGAAGGAAATACCTATAAATTTATTGCTATATCTGCTATCAATAAATGTAAAAGAACATTTTTATAAAATGAAACATAATTGAGTAAATATAAATAACTTACTCGTAATAACTGGTATAAAATCGTACAGAAAATAAAACCACCTCCTATAAATAGCGCCAAAAATGCAATGTGATATACGTCTTCAACCATTTTTGTTATTCTAAAATATTTTATACTATTTTAGACATTGTAAACTTATTTGCCACTTCAACTTAAACCACAAAATGCAAAAATAAACAGTGTTTAGTAGGGAGAAAAAACAGTATACATATAAAAACAAATGACAACACTAAAATAATAAAATAGGGAACTGTAATATTTTACATTCTATGATTTGTCTTGGAGAAATATATTGTGTGATATAACATTTTCTGCTTCATGGCAGTTAATTCTGAGCAAGTTGAGGAGAAGAGGAATAAATAGAAGCCTTCTGGCATTGGTAAAATCATATCTGAGTGAGCGTGAGTTGATTGTGCAGTACGAACACGCAACCAAGAATTTGGAACTGCGTAGTGGCGTCCCTCAAGGCTCAGTTCTTGGGCCATTTCTGTGGAATCTCTTATATGACAATCTATTGAGAACGGAGATGCCAAAGGACGCTAATTGGATTTGCAATTACGATATAAAAGGATTAGGTATATAAAATAGCATTGATAATATATTATCCGTATTTACGTATTTAACACAGCGGTATAGCTTGACCCCAGCAACTGTACCAGTTAAAATTAAGTAGAGATTACCATAATGCTGCAGGAGATTATCATGTATGATATTAATTTATAATTTCTAAGATGCTTTAATATTTATTTAACTCATTTGTAACTAAAATAGTAGTTTCATATCATAATTTATGAATATAGGATAGTCGTTTTCTTAATTATAATAAAGATAAATTCCTTTAGAGGCTGGGATAACATTCATTATCTATTTTGAAAGTGCTAATATATTTATCAATAATCCATATATCTTGACGTAACGCTAATTGGATTTGCAGACAACATAGCAATAGTAGCAGTTGATAGGAGTGAGGACTGGCTCATGGAAAAAGCTAATCTGGGTCTAATGAGAGTCTTAAACTGGATGGACAAAAACTGTCTCAGTCTGGCACCGGAAAAAAACGGAAGCGGTCCTCCTGACTAAAAGGACTAAGTTGAAACCAGTGCATTTTAACCTGTTTGGAACACGAATTGTACCTGGTAGATCATTAAAATATCTCGGGGTGTGGCTGGACAGCAAGCTCAATTTCTCCATACACGTACACCGTACCATAGAAAAAGCGGAAAAAGCAATGTCCGCCCTTTCCAGACTTATGCCAAATATAGCTGGTCCAAGCGAATCGAAAAGGAAAACACTGGCATGTGTAATGCAATCCCAGATACTCTATGCTGCACCAGTGTGGAATAACGCAACAAATAATAACGTACTTACCAGGAAACTCACCAGAGTTCAGAGGCTAATGTCCATTAGAGTAACTAGGGCCTACAGGACAATCTCAGCTGAGGCAGTCAGAGTGATAGCTGCAATACCACCCATAGACCTCCTTATCAATGAAAGAGCCAACATATACAACAGACAGGACAGAGCCACGGCGCTTCAATGTATTCCTATATAAAAGGAAAAGAACAAATACGGAGATTTGTATATACTGTGAAGCAATAGATGATGCTGAACACACGATTTTTGCCTGTCCTAAATGGCACGACGCAAGACAGATATATGAGAAGGAACTGGGGAGGCGGTTTACTCTGGAGAACTTTGCCTTGGACATCATGGGAGAAGAAAATGAATGGAAGATGACTTATAATGTTGTACGGACGATCATTAGAACCAAGGAACAGGAAATGAGAACTTTGGGACAAGTAGAATGGTAAGCCAGCTACCACATTGAAGTAATGCGAGAGCAGTTCCAGCGTGGAGCATGGATTGGCAAAGGGGGGTTTTTAGTCGGTAAAAACCCGACACGGCCCACGACCATCCAACATCGGGTGTCTTTTGAAGATTTTCCCCTCCATAAAAAAATACATTACCAAAAAAAATATATATAGCTCCATTTTAGCAAAAAAGCAAGTTTATTAAAAAACAAGAAAAAACTTTAATTAAGGTAATGTAGTTTTTTTATTTAATAGGTATCATCGTTCCAATATATTTTTTTTTAATATGATTTAAAATTATTAAGTACCTTTTAACTTCAACATAATGTTGAATGCATTGCTTCAAATTGTCTTTCATTTTCCTAGTAAATTTCTGGTCAGAAAGTTTCAACGAATCTTCTTTCATTCTTAAAACACCTTTAACAGTTTCAAACTGATTTAAATGTTCCAAAGTATACGTTAAGATATCACACTGCGCACCAATAGCAATCAACAAATTTTTAGCAAAAGAATCTATGTTGATGATGTGAAAAATAGTGTAAGCTATGCTTATTGTTTGACAACCAGTGGTTATTTCAAAGTAAGGTGTAACTGAAGAGTTGTACGGGTACCATGCTTTAGTCGGTAGCGTACGTTCATTTTCGAATAACGGTTTTAAACACCAAAATAGTTGGGTAAATAGACCTAAAAGTATTCCAAAGAAAAAGAGACTGTGTCCAAAAGCTTCTGCTTTTTTGCCTATTTCAAAATGCTTCCTACATTTCACCTAAAATAAATATAATTCATAAGCATAATATCTCAACATTAAACTAAGTCTGTTAATGCGATGTCATTTTAAGAAAAATATCACAGATTTATAATTGCTATATCTGCTACTGAAATGTCCACGAACAGTGATCATAAATATAAGAGATAGAACAATCATAAATATAAGAGACAAAAGATATTTTGAATATATTTTTTTATTTTTTGCTTCTGACAAAGGGAGGAGATATAGGCGAATTTGATATATTAATAAAAATCCATTGGCAAGCTGGTTACCGTGTTAAACGCAGTGGTGTTTACAAAAAACATCTTTTTTATTTTGTAGATTCGGACAAAATAGTAGGTATAATGTTTTATTGTGAGTAAAAATTACACTTTTAGTGACGAGGCTGTACGTTTGACCGACATACAAACCAGGCAGAAAAAGTCATTTTTACTCTGAATAGAACATGCTATTTTTTTTCAAACGCCACAAATACTTTTTAAACAATTTCAAACGTATATAAATAGTATATATAAGGCGTCTAAATGCAAAACCCGACAAATCACACATTTTTGAAAATTGAGTTCTATACACCATTTTATTGGTTATCCAAAGAGCTATCAAATTTCATAATATTTTCTTGCAAATATCGACATTATCTATATGGAAAATCTGGTTTAAATGCAAAAAGCGACAAGTCCTATCAGGATTTAAATTCAAACACCGACATGTACCTCGTCAGCCAATGGAAATGACTTAATCAGGTCACATGCCAATGTGACCTGACTAACTAAGTGAAGAAGTTTTGTTCTGCTGAAATTTTAAATTTTGATGCTTAATCTTACTTAAAAGCTGTAAAAAAAAAGTATCTTATTATTCTTTACCTACTTTACTTTATTTTCCAATAAAATTTCAATAAAATAACATAATCCATTTAATTTTAATTACATTCAAGTACGTTCTTTGTCAAAACCCTACATGTCACAGCTCTTTACATGCAAAACCAGACATGTCTAAATTAAAACCCCAATTTACAAGAAAACTACCTGAGTTAGATTTTTATGCATGATATTTTCAAGAAATAATGCGCCGGAAAAATTCACTGTTTTAGATTTATTACTTCTTTTAATATTCGTAATATTTTAATCAATTTTTGTGTATTCTGTAAAATTTGTTTCAGTGGACTTACTGGGTTTTGCATTTAGACCCCTGATATAAAAATAGATATTTTTTATACAAGACGATAAAATGGTATTTTATCGTCGACCGAAAAGATTAATTCACGAGCAATGAAATCGCGAGTGAATTAATTTCTAGAAACGATAATGCAATTTTATCGTCGTGTATAAAACAATATTTTTTTCCATAGCGAGTTATGTTTTAAGAAACATTCAGAAATTATTATTCCAAGGAATTTATTACGCGAGTAGAAAAAATAATGTGCTGGGTTGGCGTTGGTTTCTATGTAATTTGAAAAATAAATAAAGCTGTCTCTTTAGTTGTCAGTTTTGAGTCAATATTATTTAATTCTCTTTCGTGTCGATTGCTGATTGAATTGGAGCCAAAAATGGCTCAAAACGAAATAAGTAAATTACCAACAGATATTCAGGCCGAGGCGACAAACGCCATATCCAAACTACTTCCATTTAAATCCCGAATAACTTATGAAAAGGAATACAAAAATTTTCCAAAATGGAAGCAATTAATCACGTCGCAAACATTTTGCGCACTTTTGTGACGTTTGAAAAAAAACATACTTTTTTTTCAAAAAATACGACATTTAGTTTTGATTTATCCTGGTATATTATTAAAATATATAATAGGGCAGCAATATAACATAACAATTAGTTTTGAAAAATATACAATAACTTGTCAAACTTTACTAAATCTATGTGTAATATTACATACATACCTGAAATAAAGGGTTCGATTTAAAATTACACAAAATCTCTTTGATGTGATTTAAGTGCAAATAAAAATTAGTACTTTGAACCAAAGTTACTACAAACGTACAAGTTATGTACAGGGTACCAGTTACTTCCATAATATCATTCGCATTGGCTATCATGTGAAGAATTAGCGGCAACAAAAATAGTATGATCAAACCGAAACCGAAGCAAGTATAGAACGAGTATACAAATTTAAATTTTGAATAGGGATCTAGTTTCCAAAATCCAAAATAAAGAAATAGTTGTTGGTTTCTGAAAAATATTTCAGATAGGTCGATGTGTGTATTAGACGACATGGTTGTCTTTATTAAAACTAGTGTTATATCTCGCAATTGACTTTATACCCTTCTTATTTTTCAATAATTTATGCCTGTGTGCTGTCAATCATAACAAATAAAATCGAATGACAAGTAGCTTATTATACCTTATTAAATCGTCAGAAAATGGTCTTTTCACTATGATTATAAAAGAACCGATATTTTCTAAGGCGTTTATATGCTGATCTTAGTGGTAGTATTATTTTATTATAAAATAACACGATAGGTACTGAAGTTCCAGTTAATGAAAAGTTCAATAGTCAATAAATGCAATTTTATTCCATTTACTAATAACACCCTATTCATTCGAGCTTCCCGATTATTAAATAGCACCCTCGGTATTATTTTACTTTATTTGAGAGAAAATTACACTCTAAATAGAATTACATATCATATGTCAATTTTTGACATTCTTGCTTAAAAAAAATCGTATTTTAAATTTCAATCTAGAATGCCATGGCTGTGTTAAAAAGAATAATTTTTAATCAAGGAGCCTTCCCAACAAACATGTGAAGGTAAAATTACGTTAAATTAACCACCTGAACTATTATTGACTAACTGATGGAAATTGGTCGAAATTTCCAAGAATTGACGTTAAAATTCCCAAAGAGGGGAATAAAACTAAAGTAATTTGGAAGTTAAAAAAACAGGTTAACAGGTTATGTCTTGTATGAAATATGGGCTATGAAGTCAAAAATAACCGACCTGAGGTCATAACATGGTAAAATAAAGGTGAATTTTACTAAAAATAGTCTTAATTTATACCACCTACAATTTAACATGGGAAAGAAAGATAAAGAATAAGGTAAAGAATTTTTCTTTTTAATATGTGTATGTAAATTAATTTCCCAATAATGAAGACAAACAAGTGTAATAACTGGCATGGCCGTTTGAACATTAATCCAATATGGATGAAATACCTACATATATACATGCACTTCCTAGTAAATGTAAATATGTTATTGGTAAGAAGTGGATTACTGGATTCCCAAGATAATTATGTCTGCGGAGAAAAATTTTCTGTGAGATGTAAATATGATAGGCCCAAAAAAATTATGCGCCATTAAAATTTTATGTATTTTCAACAATTAATTTTAGAATCAATCGCTATTTTCAAGGTTCTAACCTAACTTTTTTTCCGCTAACTTCCTTGGTACACTTTTAAAGTTCTTAATTAGTTAATTTAACTTGTGGTAAGTAGTATTATTCATAAACGTCTGTTTATTTTTAGTTTAGTACAATATCAAAAAAAATATATTTTTTGAAAACAAATTGGATAAGAAAATGGCCGCTAATGGTGTTTTTAACTATTCGCCTATGAAGTTAGGTTTTCCATAATTTTAAAACCTTAAAGTCCGCTTTCTTTGTATGAGGTTAAGATTTCTTTAAATTAATAACCTCAAAGGTCAAGATTTCTTGCTTAAGGTATTTTTCCTTCGAGGTGCAAGTTAAAAAATGGGCTATATTCGAGGTCTTCACTACAGGTCGAGGTCTTCACTACATTGTTGGAGTATCGCCGGTAAAACAGAAAACTTTTATTTTCTTTGGGTGACAGTGACAGTTGGCAATGATATTTTATGCCAAGTTCGGTAATTACATCTTCGAGCAATCCGATTAACTTTTCACAGCAATCATGTTTCCTAAAATGAGAATCTTTATTGAGAGTCACGTGACATGTCAAATTTTTATCCTTTTGCTGGCCGATGCAATTACCGAAGTGGCCTAAACTGGAAGACTAACTAACTAGAAAACTAAATTAAGATTGTGGCGGTAATAAAAAAGAAACGCATTGAATATTCTTTCGTTCCCCACCAGTGGGAACAAGGTAATGTGCTATGACGTAATAATCCCTCGAAAACTTTTTTAAACGGAAATCACACCGAAGAAATTAAAAAAGGTAATTTTTAACCTGCCGCATGTCTGACTTTCTTCCAAGTCAAAAAACTAAGTTACTTTTACCTTTGAAGCATAATAGCGACTTATGAGGTCGAAATAAATTAAATTTTCAACCTTATTTGAACTCCTCCAAATAAGGTCTCATTTAAAGTTATTAACAACTAAATTTTAACCTAACTTGAAAACCAAACAATGCCTTCGACCCCCGAGACAAATTTGAGGTTATAATAAAGTAACATTTAACCTACTTTAAGTCCCTGTAGTCTTAATGCCCTCAATAGGTTATTAGTAACTAGATTTTAACAATGCCAGCTAACTCCAATGTTGCTACTTTTCAAAGGCATAATTTAGGTTATTATTAATTAGTTTACGACCTGATTTTTAGATTTCTCGCACTTTATTCCTTAGAAAAAATTTATTAAGTTAAGTATAAGTAAAATTCAACCAAATAGTGGTCAATTTTCCGTGTTCAATGGTTTTTTCTCCTTCCTATGCTACTTGGGTTGGAAAAATAGATTTGAGCGTCAAATGTTTTCTGTGTCTTGTCCTGGCCGGTTAAAAGATGCTCAAATTGTATTTTTAATCATATCTCAATTTTTTCAAATGGAACGAGGATGGCTCATTAGCATATTTGGAAAAAGCATTTTTTACGAATAATTTGGTACCACACATAGTATTTTGACTCGAAATACTAAGTGTGTGGTAGGTTAGGTTGCCATTATGAACCGGATCTTACAAATTCAAATAAACCTTAGACAAGGAAAGAGAGGGGACGGGTAACACGCATATTCTCCCGTGATCGGTTAGTGAGGCCAAAATTCGATCGGCGGCCATACTTTGGTGACAAGATTTCGAGGTGACACCGAGCGAATTTTTATGTTTTTGTGACAACTGTTTTGTTTTAAATTTATAAACTGTGTTGTTTAGTACGGTGAGATGTTCAGCGTATAGCTGCAAAGGCCGAAGCGAGAAAAAAGTGGCTGGAATTACATTTCACAGGTAAAAATGGATACACAACTTTTGATATGTGGTAAATGTAAATTATAAAAAATAAAAAATATACATAAAATGTAAATTTTTTCATTGTAGCAGTAAAAATATGTAAAATGCTTTTAATATGTCTTGTACCACATCCAAAACAAACTATTTTTAATAATTCCAAGTAGTATTTTCAATATCCTGTATTATAATTAATGTTTGAAACTATAAATATTGTTACTCAGACCGGATTTCACCAGTGGCGTAGAATTATAATCAGAGAAATACAATTTCTGCAATAAACATTTTTACATAAAAATGTATAAATGCAATAAACATTTTTACATAAAAAATGTATAAATTATTGTTATCAAATATGTAAAATAATTGTAAACTATAAAAAAATGAAAAATTCTAGTGATAAAAAATCTATATGTATAGTTGTTATATAAAACTTAAATTTACCTGCCAAGATTTGTTGGGGGTGGACAAACTTGTGGTGGGCTACTTCTTACTTCTTGTTACTACATACATATATTTTTTTAAATATTCTTTCAAAAAATTTGCTAATTTAAGTGTATAATAATAGTTTCAGTAAGTAATTAATAAAAATTTAAAAATAAATAATATAACACAAAGCTTCTAGAATTGTTTTATTTTTTTTTGTGGATAGATTCGGATATTCTTAAAAATAGGATATTCTTGTGATTGAAGATAACAAATATTAAAAATTACATTATTCATTGAATCCGTACGCAAGTGTGAAGGGTAATGGCTAGATTCATTATTATACCGTATGGTCGAAAAAAAAACGACGTCCTGTTGGCTTGTAAATGACGATCGACGACATTCCCCATATAATTTTACATATAAATGACAGCGATCTTCATTTCATAGCCATCGCTGACGCCGTCTTTTTTCGATGTCGTTTTGTATAGTTTTTATGTCATTTTATATGTAGAATTATATAGGGAATATCATCGATAGTAATTTATATGCCAACTGGACGTCGTTTTTTTTTTCGATTATACGGTATAATAATGAATCTAGCCAATTCCCTTCACACTTGCTTACAGATTCAATGAATAATGTAATTTTTAATATTCATTTGTGAAATTGTCATTTCCAAACAAACAAGGCGCCGTTTTTTTCGATCATACAGTATATATGTATATACACTATACACGTTTAAAATATATGTTATTACATTAATTTTTATTTAATTATACATTATACACACGTTAATAAATAAATAATTGTCTTGATAATCAGTCTACTGTGACTGTTAAATAAATTTTGCATTATCGACTTAGATATTCTAATATTATAAAGGTGAGACTATAAAATACAAAATTGTATATGCATTACTCAAAAATGAACGATATATTAGTTTATGTTTTAATAAATATTTTGTACCATCTAGGTAAAAGTTAATTTCTGATGCTACGCCATTGGAGAATTTCGCGTGGTGACAAATTGCCTCACTTTCAGCTGCTGTGTTACCTGTCCCCCCTCTTTCCTTGTCTAAGAAATAAACCATATGCGAAAATGTCAAAAGTTGAGATATGATGTCATTCTATTCAGAGTGTCATTTTCTATCGAATAAAGTAAACAAATACCGAGAGTGCCATTTGAAAATCAAAAGTTGTAGTCATTTCCGGTGAAACAGGAAGAGATAGAAAATACTTCAATAGGTAAATCAATCCTATTTTATATCATTTACTAGCATACCAAATCTCGTGCTTTTATCTGAAAAATAAAAATATATAAGGGTGAACTATTTTTGAGATGCACCCGGTATGTTGTTTATCAAATTAGTGTATCAATTTTCATAGTTGTTTGCGAATCAAGGGATTTTAATAATTCTGTTGAGTTTTGTACTTTAACATTTTTTGTTTTGTAATTTGACTAAGCAATATACTCTGTCCAACGACAAAATCCATGCCAGTGATAGATGTGTCTGTCATTTTAATTTCAAAGTAGTTTATTTTATTCTACAAAAAAATAAGTTGGTACCATTGGAACGCATAGCAGAAAATAAATATATTTAAAATTTGCGTGACAGTGACAAATGATTACTTCAAAATATTGTGAAAAACACTATA